TATTTGACGCAGAGTCAAAATGTAGGAGATGCGATATATCTAATGGACTGGCCTCTGTTATCAGTCAGCGAGAAAAAAGATCTGCTGATAATCATGATACGCGGTACTATCCCTATAAAGTTTACTAGCAGTTTCTTGATTACTTTATCTCTTCAATCTTACAGCAATGTTAGTGTCTCTATTATATTTATATTTGAAATAAAAGAAATGCTGGATACATTGAAAAATATAATTAAATAAATAAAATAAATTAATTAAAAATATATTGCAAACACTTGTATATTGTATTGATGCATTTCGTCTATTGTCTAAAACACGGTTTAAAATCCTCAAGTTTTTAGTAAGTGTTACAATCTTTTATCTTTCCTTCAATTTGTTCAGATTTTGAAAACTTCGTACTCGGTATTTAACCTGATGCAGTCGTAAAATACAAAAGTAATTGAAAGTGCATAGTATTGTAGCTTCTGTAGCAAGTCATTGACTTTAAATATTAAAATTTTTTTGATAATATATATTTTTATCTCAATCTTATATATTTTTTATTAACGCGCGCGCGTATTTGTAAGAATATTGACGCCTTCGATATTTAAAATTATCATCTCTGTTCACTTCACATTTTGAATGATGAAATTTGTCAGTTTACTATCGAGTTTACTGTTTATGTTTACTATCGAGAATAAAAACTATTTACTCTGCAGTAAAATGCAAAAATAATATAATGCACATGAAAGTATATAAATATGCATTTAACTGATGAAAAATTTGTCACTCAAGCTAACCAATGTCACCGACGAGATACTATTAAAGACCGTCAGTCCTGGGTAAATTTTTATAATCATCAAGTGAGCCCGATGAACCCAGAGGTAATTGAAGAATATTGACTTACCGGCCATTTGACTGCATCGAAGATAATTAGACGAATTATTTAATTCATACGGTTATTTTAGTTCATCTAGTTATTGTTTTATTATCGAAAACATTGACGAGATATCATTAAATACCGATGGTCTTATGGGATTTAGCATATTACTGGAAAAAAAACTCGCCACGCGTTACTGTAGATATAAATAAATCTTTGCATTGTCGATAAAATAAAACAGTAATTTTACAATAAAATGTTTGTTTTGTTTTTCTTGAGGCAGTTACATAAAAGATCTATACATTTTCGATAATAAAACAATAACTTGGATAAACTAAAATAACGCGCAGCGAGTTTTTTTTTCAATCACACTAAATATCCCATAAGACATAAGACCATCGGTCTTTAATATGATATCTCGTCGGTGCCAATGTCCTTGCCAAATGTGTATTCTCTTTCTTATTTATTCAAATAGTTTAAATAATAAATACGCACACACACAAACAAACACACACTCACACACATAGAGAGAGAGCAGAAAATGCGATTTAATAACTTTGCAAATGTGCAGTGATATTTTAATAAATGACATTAAACTTATCTGTGAGAGACAAAATATAAGCGTTAAAGATCGAAGATACAAGAAAAGAATTGGAGTTATAAGCACAAGGAAGGAACGTAAATCCAGGAAATATTTGTACGACGCAATATATATATAGCTATAGTTTTTAAATTTAATGTAACTTCCCATTTATTCCCCTCTCGTATACGTATTTTTCAATTAATATATTTTTATATATTTTTACCTGTACATACGATATTACTCTTGATGATATAATTAAATGTTCCGTACACGATATCCACGGTCCTGATTCACGAATCATGAATGTGGCGGCAAGTTAGAAGAGATACCAGAAATGACGTCAGCTCAGAGATGCGGCTATCAAGTTTCGAAGCGTCAAAGTGGATGCAGATGGCGCGAGAAATATAAGTCCCACGAAAAAAGAAAAAACCGATGTATTCACTCTCGGATTCTCTCCTCTTCGAGTAAATAAATAATAAAATGCGTTCGAGTATGTTTGCCGCTTTTAACGAAAACCAAAGACAGTGTTGAAGGAATCGCGAAGAATGAGTATCGTTATTTAGATGTGATCGATATAAATCAAGACCGTGAGGCAAAATACGCAAACATGAATCCCGCGGAAGCCGAAACTATTGCCGATCTGGTGCAGAACATGATTAAGTCCTTTTTTGGCGAACAAAAGCCAGGTGAGTCTTTCCTCAGACTACTGTCAATATAATTTATATTTGAGATGATTGCGATACATACATACCTCATTTCACTCGAATTAATTACTACGCTTTTCGCTTCAAATATTGCTGTTAAGCATTTTTAATGTCCTGTTATATTTTTAGAATAAATCTTTGTTTATGTTCTGTCATCGTATGTACAACAACATTTGATGGGAAACATCTTCAGAAAAGCATCTTATAAAATGTCTGATTATTTTAATATGTGAATAAATTTTAAATGTATAAAGTTTCTTGATATGAACCTTTTTAGAATTTGATTATTATGCATCTTATATTTATGCCTTAGAATCAATTCTTTTCTATAACTATTTGGGCTCTCATTTTACGCTACTACTTTACTATATATCAGTTGGTGATAATGCACTAAAATTTATTGAGAATTGCCTATCAATCATGGTAATAGTTTGCTTGTGTATCTTGGATTTGCTAAGCTTGTATTCACAATATGAGGGATAAGTCTAATTCTAAGGATTCTGATATGTATAATTTCTTCTTGGATTTGCAACAATTGTTAATAATTCCATAGTATTTCTTAGATATTACAGCATAGTTTGTAACATATAAATATTTACAAGTATTATATATTTAGTTAATAATTTTTATATCTTTCAGAGTTGACTAGAAGATTGATGCGTTTTTCCCTCGGGTTATTATCATCTACAGGAACACTGAGAGAGGATGAAATGACTGTAGCAACAAATATAAAGAGTAAATTATCACCACGTGATGCAGTACAATTTGATAAACTACATAATGACTTAAAAGATGGGGTAATAAAAATCTTGCAGTTTATATATCTCTCCCTCTCTTTAAACCTTCTGTTTCATATTCATTTAAATTAACAAAGTTAAAATCATACAATATAAATATGTAAATGTTGGATATAACTGTATATATGTTTTTATATAAATATTGTTCTTTCTTTAGCCACTGAAGAATCGTATAAGTATTTTATTATTTCTGCTAAACATGAGTCAGTCAGCAGAAGCAATAAAGGACAGAATTTTTGCATTTCCAGACATGAAATTGGGTTTAAGTACAATTGCATCCACTAGTGGTAAGAATAGCATTGTGGAATTTATTAAGGCACTCATCAAAGTTCTCTAATTGTTTCTTTGTATATTTAGGACAATCATCACAAACATCATGTTCCCAAGCGCAACAAATTGTATCACTGAATACCACAGAAACAAGTTCGAGAGCATTGTTAGTAAATCCGAGTAAAATATTTAATGAAGAATGTATTTCAGAGGATGTATTGGTTCAGGACTTGATATATTCTTTCCAAAGTGTTGAAGGAAAGATTCTAAAGTTACATTCGAGCTACGGTTTTCAGATAGATCCTGTAGCAAAGATTAATAGATCACAAAAGCAAGCTGTTTTACGATTGAGTGAATTAGGCTATTTACATAATGTAGTGCGAAAAGGATTGGAGAGAATGTCTGTAGCTGGTGCGGGTAGAGTTGCTGACAGTTTTGTTGCTGCTCTGCATAAAGAATTGTCAGAATATTATAGATTCATAGCTATAATGCAGGAAGAGGTGAATAGGTAGGAATGAATTCAATGTATATGCTATAGTATATCATTAAAGATATATGAGAATCGCATTAATTAAAAAAATATATATATATATATATATTATATATATAGGTCGCAAAATCAAATGGTTGCATATGGTGTTACATTATCTCATTTACATCTTTGGACATGTGATCCTTTGGAAACTTTAAAATGGTTAGCAAGTATAGTAAGAGCTTGCCAAGGCCAAAAAGGTGGTGCATTGGCATCTATTGTTTACGAATTCAGCTATCATGGAGATGCTATTGTGAAGAATTTAGTCAAGAGAGTTTTGGAAAGTGTATGCAATCCCCTGTACAATATGCTAATGAGATGGATTGCTGATGGAGAGTTAGACGATCCGTATAAAGAGTTTTTCATTCAAGCATGTGCTGATGTTAGTGGTGACAGAATGTGGCACGAAAAGTATCAAGTGAGGAATTCAATGGTGCCATCCTTCATTAGTAAAGCCCAAGCAAAGAAAATTCTAGGAACAGGAAAGAACATTAATTTCTTACGCGAAGTTTGTAAAGATTTCTCACCTTGGCAAGATAGACATGCAGATGTGTTCAGAAATTGTGACGAAGAATATAATGGTAAATATGACAATCTGATTACTGATACTATTTTTACAATAAGACGATTTTAATATTTTCCTTTAAATTGTTCGATAAAAAATTTACTATTTAATATTATTTATAAAATATTTAATATCAGGTGGAGATCATTTTATAAATTTCGTCAAATTCAAAAAAATATTTAATGCTATGCCGTTTATTTTTCAGTCGAAGTTTTTTTTGATATGGATCCAGATGGTCGCTTACAAACTATGATGAATGCTGCTTATAAGGAAACATCAACAAGAGTTGTTGAAATATTGACAAAACAATATCATCTCATGGATCATTTGCAGGGAATCAAAGGATATCTTTTACTTGGCCAAGGCCACTTTATTCAACATCTTATGCATTTGCTGGAGTAACGATATCTTTTTAATGCATTTGCGACAATATTCTTTTGTTCCATTACGTTTCGGCTTTGAAAAATCGTTTTAATTGTATGTTTCAGACCTGAATTGGCTAAATCAGCAAGTTCTTTATATCCTCATAATTTATCCTCTATTCTTGAAACTGCAATAAGAGCAACTAGTTCAAAGTTAGATGATTTAGATGTGCAAAAACGTTTAGATGTCAGATTGTTAGCACCATCAGAAAATGAGACAGGCTGGGATGTTTTTATTCTAGACTATAATGTTGATGGACCTATAGGAACGGTAAAAAGCATCAAGTCGTAATATATCACACACATACAATTGCAAAATTTGTTAAATGTAACTTAAATAATCTTATATACAATATTTTTCTATCCAGATTTTAGAGCCATGCAGGCAAACATATCAAATGGTATTTTTTGCATTATGGAGAGCAAAGAGAATGGAAACGATCTTGTCTGCTATTTGGAAGCAACAGACAACATCGGCCAAGATGTTCAGAAAAATGCCAGAAGTACTGCCAATCCAGAATCATATCCATCTGATTACTAGCAGCATGGTTCATTTGGTTCATCAAATGCAATATTACTTTCTGTTTGAGGTAACACTGTGTATCATTAAGTTATTGTTAATGATTAAAATCTATACTATTAATTTTTATTATTGAAATTAGATTTGTAGAAATTATTATATTGCGAGCAATTATCAAGGGAGAAAGTTGTATTAATTGCAGGTAATCGAATGTTCTTGGGATACATTTGCGAAGCAACTTCTTCAAGCAACGTCCCTTGATGATATAATTGTGGCTCACAATCATTTTGTAGATTCTGTGAGACATGGTACATTATTAGACGAGAAATCACAGGTAAATATTTACGAAAATCGCGCGTTTTTAACTTACATTACACATTCTTACTTGTACTCCTAATGTTGCAGGAACTTATGGATCATCTACGTTCAGTTTATAGCCCAATATTAGATCTTCAGAATCTCGAGGAAACTTTTCTTGCGCGTGCTACTCAGGAATATGAGGCAAGATTAAACACCGATAATTTCGTGCAGAAGTCTGAGCAAACGAAAAAATGGGGTCGTACAAGTAAAAAAGATCAAGAAGATATAGAAAGAGAGGCTGCATTTTCAAAATATCTAAACACACTTTCAATACATCTCAAATTGCTTTCGAAAACATATCAGGTAATAATGAAATGTTTTAATTTTGTTATCATTAGCATGATATTCCTATTTATACGGTTTATATGGTTCCTTTATCGGAGTAATGATTTGATATATTTGCAATAATGCTCTAGATGTAAAAAATTCAAGTTGCTTATTTTTTATATATCTACATTCTCAAGAATTGGTTTTATAAAAGCAATATATTTCTTTCACAGGATCGTGTACAGAAATTTTTACTAATGTTAGCCTCTGCTGAAGATGTGTCGCTACAGTTACTTAGTGTACGATTAGATTTTAATGAATATTACAAAAGTAAGGATAGCCGACTAGTCGCGCCGTTAACATACCAACACCGTAGACAAAGCGATCAGACTTTCTTCGGATGCAAGTGACAATCGGCAGCGGAAATATTATCAGAAAACTTCATTGATCCAAGTAATATTTCTAATAAATGCTATATTCCAACTGAGCAGAATTCATCTAACTTTAATAGTAAGGACACAAGCATGATATTTGATTTTTCGAATAATCATCCTTCTTTGGTTCGTTCTTTGTATAAACATCATGATACCACTAATTTTTTTTATAGACCACAATCATCCATATCGATGACAGATGTCGACGATTCTGTCGCTTTGCACAAAAGAAGGTGTAGAACCAATTTGAGAAATGCTGAATTAAGTAAACATACGTTTAGAATATTTTTGGAAAAACAAATATTGTCACATGTGGAATTAGAGATTCGGAAAAATATTCACGAAGCTCAAACTCCGTTAACGCCCAATTTTGATTACAACAAATGCGATTTTACTTTAAGCCACGCACGATTAACGTTGTCCCCATTACAAAAGACTGTATCAGGAAAAATGTCTATCAAGAATGACTTGAATTTACCAAATTTAGAAACTGAAGTGCATTCTAGTAATAGAGTTATAAGAATAAATAATACAATTATAACTGCTGATTCTGAAATTAATGTGTACGAGGATTCTGTTCAAAACAAATCAAAAGTTTGCACCTACACCGCATCTATATCTATGTCTAATCAAAATGAATCCACAAACTCTAAAATCAACAAAATAGCTAATGAAGAATCTCATACATTGATATATAATACTAGTCCAGAATGGTTTCGAGATAATGAGATTATATCAGTCCATGGCTCTCTATTAAGTGAAACTATCTCAGACATTAGCTCACATAGCACAGATTTACAAAGAAATACTCATCACAAACGGTGTCGTTGGAAACGTATACTCTTTTGTTGCATTAATTAAGCTTGCAACATTTTGCAACTGAATCAAAAAATATATTTAAACTAATTGTAAAATTTATATATTTTCTTATACATGCAAACTTATTTCATTAGAGATTTATATATTATATAATTGTGGATTATACCACGCATTTTTTTTTACAACATTGATATTAACTGTATTGATAATATTAATTGCATTGCCCTCATCTTCTTATATTTATGCAATATTCTTGCTGTATTTTCATTTAAAAAGCTTTAGAATTTTAAGTTTTGTAATTATGACAGAAAATTATATACATATGTAGAGAGCACATAATCTATAAATTTTTTAGTAGCTGTACAGAAATTGAAAATTTATATTTTTCACTGTATACTATTATAGATCAAATAGTATAGAATGTTTGCCATATTAGTAGTAGTAGTAGTAGTAGTAGCAGTATGGCTGTTCTGTTACGATATGTTCGACATTAAAGTAATATGATTAATTATAGTACTTTTATTATTTAAGAATTTATTTAAAAAATTTTTATTAGATACATATATCGATATATATCATGTTATTACTAGTTTATTATTAGATATAAGAGCATATACTCTCTTTAAATTGTATTGCATAGACTATATCAATCAACTTTTTCGCCATATTTAATAAGCCACATTTTCTTTTTTGCCATATTAGAAAAATAGTGCAGCGTTCAGCACATAAGTTATTTTTATATTAAAATGAAATATTGCATTACTGAATGTATATATATAAAATTTTTAATAAATTCATAGAGTGTTATCATTTTCTATTATCTCTTTCTTTCAGCATATGACGTATTAAAATATTGTTATATATAAAGTGCAAAATATAGAAATAAAACCCTAATTTAAATCATTAATAAGGATCATAAATATTTTATTAAACCATAAAAAAATATCTTAATATCAAAGGTTAATATCCAAGCAATAAATGTAGTATTGTATTTTCTATATCGTTGTGAAAGTAATTGGGGTAGATTTATGAAGTATTATCTATGTATATCATATAAAAAAATAATTTTATTCATCATCTATATTTTTCGTCACAAATTGTCTTTTCATTTCAAATGTAACGATACCAACAGCTACACCAACATTTAAACTGTCAACGCCGTTAGTCAGCGGTACGTTGACACGAACGCAATTTCTCGCGTGGAGCAATTTGCACGATTCGAGACTTACACCCTCAGTTTCCCCACCAATTACAAGTACTATTTCTTTCTTTGTAAAATCTAATGTGTAATAAGATTCAACTGGAAGTTGAGATATTAACTTTTTTACTAGTGATTTAGTTTTTGCAGTTGGTTTGTGCGATTTAGTTTGATCTACCAATTCCTCTACCGCGTCCTCTATTGGTTTATCGTTTTCAAAGATTTGATTACTGTTGGTATCGTAATTATCTTGTTTCACATTATTATCATCAGCTTCAATGAAAGTACTTACATTTGATTCTGGATTAACCTTATTATCTTGTAACTTATTTTCATATGCTATATTGTTGTCTGCTAGGAATATCATCGATTCGTTGCTTATTAACGTTGGAATTTCATCCCACAAAACAGATGTATGTATTGGTATGCGAAAATGTGCACCAACAGCACTACGCAATACTTTGGTATCCCACAAATCTGTACATCCTGAAACAGAACAACGAATTAAGGAAACAAGCTTTTAAAACTGTAAAGTTAATAACATTTTATATATAAATTACCTTTCATTAACAGCAGCTTTTCGCAACCAACTGCGGCAGCAGCTCTAACAATAGTTCCTAAATTCCCAGGTTCTCTAATATTATCACAGATAATAGTCAGAGGTATAGCATCATCAGCAGATTGCTTGGCAGTCACATCTGGGATTTCAAAGATTCCTGTATCAAAGAATAATTATATATATATAATTATATCCGTTTCTTTAAAGTTACATCAACTTGCCTGCATTTATTTTCATATTTGTAAAATCGAGATGCTTACCAATTATTCCAGGAGAAGTTGTTAAGTTAGACCACAACTGAATTGTACGATATGGAACTTTATACAATTTTACTTCCTTGGACAGTGACAATGGTAATATTTCAGATATTCTATTGAAGAATATGGCTTTTGGTTTTGTCCCTGCTTCAACTGCATCTTTAATCAAACGAAAGCCTTCTAACAACATACTATTATTCTTTTCTCTCTTGTTCCTTGTTTTGACATCTATCATTAAAGAGCTGAAACATGAAAAATACATGTGATATTATTTACACGTAGACTGATATGATCTATATATTATTTAAGGAACTACACATACCTTACAAGCCTATCATCTGCTTTAATGCATTTATATCCTTGTTCTGTGGTAATAACTTCTCCCACTTTATTTTCAATCTCCTTTTTTTTCTTCTCTTTTCCTTTCTGTATTTTAGATTTCTCCTTATGTGTTTTAAAAGCTTTTTCAGATATTTTGGTTTTTATTGTTTTTGTATCATTAGTTGTTTCGTCGAAAAGCTGATGTTCATTGACAATCGCAATAGGAGACCGATTAGTCCACCTAGTATATTTGCATTTTAATTTTGGCCTTAGATTGATCGATCTCAAAAAATTTACGCTGGAAATCGATCTGATCGATAACTGCACTGTGCTGAGCAACATTCTTATTTTGAAAGTTCACTTAAATACGTTAATCAATACTTCATAAGTTTACTTCAAAAATTATTATATTAATAATATTTATTTTCTACTGTAACACGTTCATATTTTTATAACGTTGCTGAATCTCGATTACTGACCGCGTGCCTTTGTGTACACTCGGCATATCAGCTGGAGCGAGCTATCAGCACCTTGGAATATAAAGTCACATGAAGTTGCACTACAGTTGCTTTCATCTCCTTGACGTTGTAACTGCTGAAAGCGTTAGACCAATCGGAGCAAAGATCTCTTTATTCTGATTGGTCAATCAACCACTTGCAGTACTCGTAGCTCGTAGCGTCAAACAAACGCAGATAATTTTAGGCATTCGCATCGTATCTAAATATTCGTGCATCATGATTATAGTGTGTGCTCCGTTTCAAATTCTCAAGATATACTGTATATTGTATCTCATTAGTGAACGGAAATCTAGCCAGAAAAGAAGAAGAAAACTCTCAAAAATCGAAAAAAAAAACATCAGGAGAATATAATCAAATAAGAAGTAAGTACGTATTAGATAAGACACGAACTGAATTTCTAAGAATTGCGAAAAAAGAAGAAAAAATGAAAACAAAATTTTATAGATCTCAGAGTAGTTTGAACACAATGAGAAATTTGAAATTATCAAAAATTGGCAAATTATCAGGACAACATAATCAAGTATATAAGAAATGACAGTAATTTATATTTCAAAAATTACAATTATAAATAATGCTATATACACACCGAGTGTTTCATTTAAAAAGTTAATAACGGTCATCATCAGCGACTTGATGTATATAACGACATTTCTTATAGCCCTGCGATCGATATTTAATCGACAATTGAATATGACATATATGGAATTTTACATAATTTTACTTAAAGAGAAAGAATATTACTAAAAAATAACATTCTTGCTTGAGAAATGCGTTTAGTATATTTTATCTTTTTTTTTATCTTTTTTATTTTGTGACATTTATCAAGAGCTAAAACGCGAGGTGCTTGCGATATTAACATTGGTTGCATGAGTCGATTAATAATAATTATAGAAAGAGTTTCCAAATATCCTCTCTGTGTATTATTTAAGATGCATTATCTAAGATATATTTCGATTCTTATATATTCTCTTTATATGAATAGTTCCGCACGCTGACAAATAATTTATTCGTGGGAAGTTATCGTATACATCATGCATTGTGAAAAGACAAACTTCATGATTTGCATCTCAAGATTGCTGCAAAACGTTAAACGCAGAGTAAGACGTTTTGAGAATCTATAAAATAAAATTTTGTATAGTATATGAGTGTCGTGGACACTATTTATTCTAAGCAGTGTCAAAGAAAATATCCATTGTAGTACTGACGTTAGCGTAAGAGTCCAGAGACAGCGTCACTAAAAAGCTACTAGTGAACTTGATAGGTCTCGTGCTACGCTTCATTATCATCAGCAAATCCTTTTGTTCGCTAATCGTTACCAATGTTCAATTTATTTCGTATGCCGCGTCGCTTAATCCAGTGCTCTGCACGATTGGAAACGATTAATATAATTAAATTATTTTTTCTGCTGTAACATTGTTCTTTTTTTTTGTCTCTGAATACATTTCTTTTTATGTAAAAAAAAATTATGATTTACTTTGAGTATAACTTCATTTCCAGCCCAGCAATAAACAAAGATCTGCACGAACATGTAAAATGTGTAGATAATTAATTTCACAAAATCCGCAACTGTTATATGAGATGACAGATAATACACGCTCGTACACAATATTAATATGCTGGCGAAAAATTGGACAAAGAGTACTTGGCTGAATACTTCATTGACCATTTCGACAAATCTGTCAATATACGCTTATTATGTAATAAATTATATATAAACCATGCGCAATTTTCCGCGATTTTCGATGGGAAATGAAACTTCTGAAAAATTCGGGGCACAAACTCGAGCCAGCGGACAATAATCCATCTTTTTCATCGATTTCAATGAACAATTTTTCTCATCCGTTCAAGAAAATTTTTTTCTTTTATGAAGAGATATGAAATTTACATGCATATTACAAATAATTGATACAGCTTTTGCCGTTGTTTAATTAACTTAATAATCACTGGATAGCATATATTTATTAGCAATGTATATAATTACATCAAGTATTATTTAAAAGATTTGACAGAAATTTTATAAAATGAATATATTATATAAAACCAATTTTTCTAGCTGCTTGACTCACCTAATTATGCACAGATGATAACGAATTGTGTTTTGAAAATCTGCTTTTCTTGTATGATATATTTTTCGAGGGGCTCTCATTTTTTCCTTTCCATCAGATTTTATCGCTGTGCGAAGACGATGTTTGAGAATTTCAAGTTGCGAACATACTTGTAAGCAAAATCCTAATACCAAAGTTTCCGTAGCAATATTCACGATCGTGCCAAAAATTAAAGCCAGCATTTCTTGAAGAGACGTAAAACAGAATAAAACGAGCGAATAATAAGTGTCATAGGGCACCCACCCCCTATAAGGTAATTCGCCTTGTAAAACAGCGAGGATCTCTCCTATTGTGGCACCAGTGGCAGAGAACGATGCCAGTAATGTGTAATTTATGGAATACGTTCTGCATACATATAAATCGAAATAATCGATAAATGATATAATAGCAAAACATTGAACATATTAACGTAAGGACAAATAATCGTAAATGCAATTCATTAAAGAAATGCCACGATATCTGTTTAAGCTTGAAAATAACTGGCAAGCTTTGTTCAGAAATTTATATTTTTTGTATAAATATACACACAATTGTTAGAAATGCTTCTAATAATTAGATTTTATTTTTGTGTCTTTATTATTTTATTATAAATAGAGATGAATCGTAGTTTCAGTGAACTTATAATATTAGAGATATATGTTTTGTTTTCAAAATGAATAACTTTTATCGATTATCATTTTAAAATTAAATTTTTTTCTTTACTTCTGTAAAATCTATTTAATTGATATACGAGATTGTAAACCTATATATAAATTATAATAATTGTTTACTCTAATTAACCGATTTATCTATTTATCAAGCGCAAGATTAGTATTGTAAACATTTGTATCTGGATATATTGAATACCTGATTAAATTATCGTATTTCATCTGGATGTTAATCTCCTCTTCACTGCTGGGTTTGCATAGTTTCTCTTGCAATATTTTGATCAAATTAATAATTTCACTGCGCCGAGTTACGACAGTAACCGCTTTGCAAAATGCACCGACAGCCGAGAGAAACATTAAGGAAGTCGTAGCAAAGTCGTCCATATTATCAACAACGAGAAAAATATCCATCAATTGAGTTAGCATCGAAAAGTTCAATAAGCATATCGTGGAGATGGTAAATACACTATATAAGCATTTGGAGCATTTCGATGTCCATTCGATCGTTCGCCACACACCGCTCATGGTGTATAATAAAAAATTGAGAGATAACATCGACGAAGATAATTAATATAAATCGAAGCGCACGTGACAAAGGTTCGTGAGATACTGTGTGCATCCCCCAATTTTGCTTCCCCATATAGCTTAGCAAAGTTAATTACAGTCATTAGCGACTTGATATAACGTAGCAAATATTGTCGTATGAAAACGATGCAATTACGATAATCTTGCCGTTTAACGGGATCGAGAAAAGTTCCAACATATTGTCGCATTCCCAGGAAATAAGGGAGAGAGAAACATTTATTCTAAAACTCTTACAATTTTAATTATTAAAGGTAGCGTATACGGTGCTAATGCTATTTAGAGTCGCATTGTCACACAGAAGATTGAAGGTCTTTTAAAGATTCTCTGTGTAAAGATCTCTGTAAAGTCCATATCATTTTAACGAATATTATATACGATTGTGTACGTACAGAATATATGTATGTATATAATAGATAAAATCTATTTTAATAATTTTTTAATAAAATTAAATTTTTTAAATATGCATTTAGATTTCGGGTGTAATAATAGAAATATTTTATTATATTAGACATTTCTTTTTCTATATTTAAAATGAGATAAATAAATATACAGGCTATAGGGGGAAAAAGAATATTAAGAAGAAGGGCCCAAAAGATTATTTACTCGTATAATATATTATTTTTATCTTATATATATTACTCACATGTGGCTATATAATTAATAAATATTGATTAAATAATATTTTTCATTAACATTTTTATCATTTTATAATAAATAAATAATGGTTTATATAGTCGCGCATATAAATATAACACGATTGAATTAATTTTGAAATTGTGATGGCATCCAAGAAGACCATGGATACAATGCAGGTAATTGCATGTAATTGTTACCGAGACTTTCGAACTTGATAATTTCTATGTTTGCAATACCGTTATGCATGTAATCAGTTGTGCTGTTATTTGACACATGAGAATTATATTGATGTTCATAAATTCGTAAATTACTGATCATGGGAGGCTTCTGATTGTAGATATTACAACGATAAGAATGATCGCCTGTAAAGAAAGAATTTTAAATATAAATAGCTGTTTAATTTTACGATCTGTTTTGCGTATTCTCGATATTTAATAATAAAATTGTATTTGTAAATTGTTATATAATTAGGAAGCGATAATTCGTCACATTATTATATTTGACGTCTCAAGCTGTAATAAGTTACATGCTATTTTCTCCCTGTAACTATCAGAAAAAGCAACGCAATATTTTTTTAGCATAGTCGAAAAATTATGAAAAATTATTAATTCAAGGACGACGACGTGTAATGATAATTACTTCGATACAGAAATTTATAGATTCTTCTAAACATCATCTGAATTATTCGACGTATATTTACAAGTCTTAAAGAATTTTATCAACGTATGGATTAGCTCGATTAAAGATTTTGCCGATTTAAAAAAAAAATGATTAGGTTAAAAGAAGTAAATTATTAATATTTTCAAAATACTAACGGCAATAAACAATAAGTAGATAAAATTCTTATCTTTATTATAGAATTCGTCGCATTACCGTGTGATTTCATATGATGATGTAAGGCGCCAATTTTGCAAAATCCTCTGTTACACACTGGGCAACGTAATGGCCAATTACCGGTATGAGAATACCCGTGAGCCCTTAAATCACCGGGAGTTGGAAAGGATCGTCCACACTCGTCACATTTATGTGGCTTCTCCTGCATTTCAAATTATATTATATATCAAAACATTGCATATTCTTTGCAATATCTCGTATTCTTATTTACGGATAATTTATAATTATTGTAGTATTGAACAATTAGAGTACTTTACCCTAAAAAAAACTATTTTTACAGATTGATTTACTTTCCGTATTTAGTTATAGTCTATTTTTTACACCACTAAATGCGCAGTATTTCGAATAAGAAAAGGAACCTTGTAATGCGTCATGCGATGATAATACAAATTCGAGGAGGCGGTAAAGCGTTTTCCACACATCGGGCATTCGTGAGGACGTTCACCGGTATGAATCCTAATATGAGTATTTAACGAGCTGCTTGTGCTAAACATTTTACCACATATCGTGCAGCCATGTGGTTTCTCTCCTAAAATAATATATTTTATAATATTAATTGTGTTTGCAAAAATATAAAAAAAGCAAATTCTCAAACACAATTTTACATAATACTTTTTCTTTGTAAAATCCTTAATAATTTTGTTATTTAATTATTGTTTTATTATATATTTATTATTTAATTGTAATTTAATAATTTTATAAATATCAGTATAACGTAGAATATGTGAAGGATTTTCGATACTTAAATTCTCTAAATTTTTTAATTCGTGATCACAGAAATAGACTGAATAACAATTAGAATGCAATTATTTCTCTATCATTCGGAAAAAAACATAATTATTTTTCATAAATAAATCGTTACGTGTATCACAACAAATTATTAAGTATAGGATGCAGATATAACGTTATTATTAATTATTATATTCCATATTATTCACCATTAATAACACAGTATATAATATTTATTATTCTAAGAATAGTAAAATCTTTTAGGAGAATGTTATGAGAGATTATTAGAAAAAAGACGAATTTTTGACATTCCTCTCAATATTTACCTGTATGGGTTCGTAGATGTCTTTTTAAAAGTGAAGGTCTGTCGAAACTTTTACCGCAAGTTTGGCAAGGAAGACATCGTTGAAATTTAAAAGCATTAACAACACCGGTTTTCCATGCAGCCCCATTTCTACTCAAATCCAGCGGTGCATTTTGCGTTGCGTTCCATACTAATTAATATATTATTCACTTCATTAAATTGTAATTATATAACATTAGATATATTCCCTTTCAAGCATTTACTGTAGCGACAACGATACGATCATTTATATTTTAACAAGTATGGAATTTAGAATACGTGTATTAAGAATCTTTCGCTTATTTAAAGGAATATTTATAACGCGAATTTTTTTTCCGTAATTTTCTACGCTTACCGGACATTACGATAGCTTCTTATTTCCGTTGACTTGTCAATTTACACGAGTAATTGTTTGTATAATGGTAATTATGGTTTCACGAGTAAACGGATCTAACGCGCCGAATTACACAAGCAGCATTTTAGCACTTTGGTCAGATTAAACGCGATCAGATTAGAGGTAAGAAGCGGTGCAGTCGCGCAAACGACCCTCCGGCGCATGTCAAAGGCGGTGTTTTCATCTAGGGCGGAGTTTGATCGCTGTTTGGATAATAAACTTTGCAATTGCGCATGTGGCATATTTCGAAACATCTTGTATTCAAATCATTCTCGTGGTACAGGTGTTGCTAAAAGGCAATAGTAAAAAAAGCGATCAGATTTATGATTCGTCTGAAAGGTAAAATTATACTGACAAATACGTGTAGTATAAAGAAAGAAATTGTTATTTAATGTAAAATATAAAGAGAATTATTCAATGTATAATATATAAAATAATTAAATGTGTAAAATAAAATAAAAGAAAAATGACACTTGTCACAAGCGAAAATTGCGATTATAACGTATCATGTGATTAAAATAATATAATAATAATATTTTATCGTTATTAAAAAAAAATATTCTATTTTATAATATAAGCAAAAATCCGTCTTTGTTTCTAGAAAGATTCGACATTGGTTGTTTATTTTATCAAGGATGTTTACGTTATATTATGAAATCGAGAAGGAAACATAGAATATTTAAATTCATTCAATGTTCCCTCTTACATATCAATTCTTAATATTATCAAGTCAATAAACTTTCATATAATCAAGAATTAAAATATCTTAATGTGATTTTTCTTCACAGAATTTACAATTATTATATTTTATTATTATTAATGTTGTCATAATCGCCATGTCATATATGGGAGTATACAAGAATCGATTTTTAATTATCTTATATATTTTCATTAATCAGTTTGATTTCGGAAAGCGTTTACTGACTGTATCTTCCGGCTAAATTCTGAACAAAGAAATGGGACGACGTAAATTTTACGTCGTCCCATTTCAATAGCTATTTGAATCTAAAATGTGGCAAATGTAGTCTATTGTGATTTATAATAGACACTTCCGAATCGCAAGCAACTTGGCGTCGAACGAAGATAATATTCTTTGTTAGTCACATATATTCATAACATTTATCCGTCTTTAATATTTATCTCTATTTAGAATTATTTTACAACCGCATAAAAATGTATATTTGTTCATTAGATATTCAGACGAACTTTATCGTACAGATGAAGCTTATGAAGCAGATAGCCGGTAATGCTTTGTCATCGTATACTCATTATTATCCGTGATATTCGTCTGAAACGACACGCGGAGCGGAGGTAGGATAATTCGTCGTTTTGGATTATCGGACGTCCTACCGTGCGAACCCCTCATTTGTCAACGCAAAGGATATTAAAGCCATTGAATGCTCCGGCGGGATCTTTACAAATCGGTTCTTCATCGACCATAGACAACAATGTGCATATTTTTGCCGTGTAGCGCCGCGGTATTATCGTGGCTGATCGATTTCTGTATCGTAGAAACCGTCGTTAAATGTTCCTGTAATGTTCTTTTCATGTCTTTGATATCCGGATGGCATGTTATCTCTCTCGAAGTGATTAAACTCCTAATAAATCAAATAAGATGAACACAAAGTTATAATTTCGCATAGTTAATTTTGTAATATTATAAAATCTTTTTAAAAAAATATGTCACACACATTCCTATCCCATAAAATATTCCGAATTAATCTACTTTATCATAGAATATATTCGCGATAACATTGCTGATCATTGATAATTTTAATTGTTACATAAAAATAAAACAATTAATTAATTAATAAGGTATATTAGAACGAACGATTTATATGATTCTTTCTTTCATTAATTACAATATTTGAGCGAAAATTATATAGCCTCGCTAAATATATTTTATGGGGATGTACTTCGCGAATGAGCAAAAAATAAATATACTCTCTTTCGTGTATTTATTTTAACATTTAAAATTATTCGTACAAAAGTTTAACTATCCGAGCTTTGCGATCCCGTACCCAAATTCGGTACGGATTGAAACTTCATCTTCCTCGCTTGCGATACGTATTCCAGTTCCAGCAGGATCAACTCATTCTCGCCTGTACGAAGATACGGAGCCGGAACGTACAGAGTTATTTGCGGGCCGACCAACGGCCAGTATCTGCCGAGATTATGACCGTTCACGAAAGCCACCCCTTTACCCCAGCCGGTGGTGTCCAAAAATGTGTCCAACGGTTGCCCGGTAATCGTGAACCGTCCACGAAGAAATACCGGGCCGTTATTTAAAGACCCGCTATCTATGTCTATAGTTATCACATCTCGAAGAGACGACACGTCGGAGATTGCGTAGCCCGTCATAGTCCAATTAGTTAATGGAGTTCCGCTGATAGTCACGTTTGATATACCCTGAGAGATAACGCAAGAAATATTGGTACAATCTTTGATGCCAAAAACGACTGTAAATCTCATCATCTCATTCTGTGTTAATATTTATGTACAAACATCTTTTTTAAGATCTCATATAATACCTTAAAATCGTGAATTTCGTTGCCGAAATTCAAACGTCCTTGATTCTCCACCAATAGACTTAGACGGCGACCGTAAGGGTTCTCAAGCGGTATAGTATATATCTTATCTATGCGACTCAGTATCCCGGATAATCTGCCATCCACGTAAACCAGTGCTCTATCCTTCGCGATTGCACGCAATATCACTGGGTCGAAAACAGGAGGCGGCAAATCCGTCTCGTAAAGTACAAAACCTTGATTCACAGATAGATGCTCGAAAGTTTTAGGTCTGTTGCCGATCGCCAAGCTCACCACGAACGAGGATCGACTGTCGAACAGCTTCTGTATCGGTTCTAATAATACCGGACCGTAATTGCCTTTCGGAGAGACGGTTGGAAGAGACATGTTCGGCAATGGCAGGTACTGTAATTTCAATAGGCATGAACTAACTTGTTCATATCAATTAACATGTAATATCTATTACATATTTTCTAGAGCAATAAAAGGTCGCAGTTTTCTCGTGAAGTTTCAAATATCTAATTAAAGATACGATACCGTAATCGCAAAAAAAGACACACCTGACCGATGACGTCTCTTATAGCAAAGTATTTGTCTGTCGGATCTCCAGCTTCGGTCAAAGGAGCATCATAATCGTAAGAAGTTATCTGTGGACTATATACACCTGCACCGCCATTAGCACCTGTCAATAATTATTATGTTAAGTAAAATCCATTTGGTATATATAATAGTCTTATCGCGAATACTGCAAATATTATTTTTGCAGATTTTATTGGCTATCGATTCGCGAAATATTAAGAAGAAATTGACTAACCGGAAGTTAAAGCAAAATTTGTACCACCGTAGAACATGTAAATATTAACGGAAGCGCCTAGAGCGAGCATTTCATTCAATGTCTTTGTGACAGCTTCGGTTTTTACCCTCTGGAAGGTTTCCCCCCAATGGGTTAACCATCCTGGATAAAATTCAGAATTCACCAAGGGACCCTATGAGTTGTTTTTTTCAAAGTATAATCAAACATGTCGGAATTCTCGAAATTTTCGTAAATATATCGATATATCGCTGCTTACTCGTGGCTGATAGAGACGCATGGATTGAAAATTGTTGGTCACATTAACGGATGTTCCGAAATCGACGGTGGCATATGCACCAGGTACGAAACCGCAACGGAGCAAGGACGCGGACGCACCGTCCGTCGTGTATAAGAGGGCCTTACTGCCGATTTTTTCGACAACGACTTCTTTCAACATGTCCGTATACTCGGTATCGCAAGCATTGTAACTTCCATATTCATTCTCTATCTGTTAACACAAACGATGAAACAGTGAGATTGATAACTAACAGACCTTTACGCGTCTCTTAAAGTCAAAATTTTAAAAATTAAATATTCTTTATTAATTTTAAATCATATAATTATCATACTTATTATTAATTGTAGAAAATTATCATAATTGTTTTTTGCACAACTTTCGTAGATGCATCATAATCAATGCCAATTATGCTTAAGATATTTATTGTATAATCTTCAAGCATGTATTTATATTGATTAATGTAAGACATAACAGATTATAATCTGAATTCAATCGAGAATGATAAATGTGCGCTAAATACACTATCTCGGAGCAATCAATATGCAATCAACATTTTAAAAGATAACCTCTGATATTGCATAAAAATCGCATAATAATATTTGTTATCTCAAAAATGCAAATTCATTTACCTGAACCATGATTATCGGTCCCCCGTTGCCTCTTAAAAGCGGCTGGACTTTTTCTAACACCTGATTCAAATACCTTGTGGCATATTTCATGAAAGCTACGAAAGTGGAAAAATCAGTAGACGATAAAATTACATTTAATCCGCTCGTGTAGTAATGTGTAGTTCTCAATTATTCGGTATTATCGATGAGTTCGAGCGGCGACAATTGACAGAGAAAAGAAGAGTATTATTGTAGAGAGTAAAAAAGACTCTTATCTCTTATCACGGAAGTAGCGGGTCATTGCACATGACACATCGGTTTTAAATCACGCATAATATCAGAGAAAACAAAATACATTTAATTGAGGAAAGAACTCGATACTATTTTGGATTGGAAAAATTCACAATTTCTATTAACATTTCATACATCTTTATAATGCATGAAAAGTTATATCTCACCTGTATCTTTTGTACGTAGCTTTATATCCGGCACTTCGCGAAGTAACCAATAGGGTAGACCACCCTAAGGGCAGATACGTATCGATATATTAAAATGTATATCAGATATATATCAAAATTTTCATTTAATTAGGTCACTAACTTTTCTCGCTAAACCGCGCATATATTTACCAAATCTCTTTCCGCGCAAATGTAAGGACCCGGTCGTAATAATACGAGCAAGTCTTCCTCTTGCGCGATATTTAGGAATTCTACTAGATCCGCGTCACCGGCCCAATTAAATTGACCTGGTTCTGGTTCATGAAGACTCCATTCAACATAGCTATGTTTCGGAAACAAACAGGAAAATTTAATCGCGTCAATATTATTCTGCTCCAAATTTAATAAGCTTAGATAAAAGATTATTATGTTGCGTCAATGTGTACATAACGACGAAAAATTAACAATAACACTTACGTGGAGATCGCATTAAGTCCCGCGGCTCGCATTTTCCTTAAACGATCCCTCCAATACTGTCTAGGCGCCCGAAAGTAATGAAAACTGCCGGAAACATACCGGAAAGGCTTTCCATCCAATAGAAATAGATTGTTCTCATAATCAACCCCGAAACTGTATTGCCATGTGTCCTGTATTCAATTTTTTTTTTCTAAATTCTTGCTTATATATTTATTAAAAATGATGCGCTATAATAATTAAAAATTTCCAGAACATTGCTTTTCAATCTTTTCAATTAATATTTTTACACAGCTTTAACTATATTTACTTTTGATTATATTCAATTATGTGTGTATCCTATTTCTAAAAAATATTTTCTTTAATATTTGATATTCTTTAATATTTTAATATTTCCTCTATTTCACGATCGAATTAATATTATCCTGCAGTTTCTTAATCTAAGTGGAACGTGTTACACATATATATGTGCTTTCAAGTTACAGACTTTCATATCATGTATATTTATATTTTTTGCTACATTCTTGTCAGCCGGTTAGCGAATTTTATCGGAAATATGCGCTCGGGGCCGGTTACCGCGCAACCAGCTGATTCCCATCTCTTTCTCGTCTCCCACCTTCGTCTAGCTAGTATATCGCAATTCTTACGTCTATCTTTGATAGATAAGTAGTAATAAATCGTAAGGATAAATTTACATAGAGAAATATGGACGGCGTAGCAGAGATGTTATTTTGATGGTTATTTTTTTTTACCGCTTCTCGTAATAGACGGGTTGGGCTGTATCTATATGTAATTATACATACGCGAATCTTCTCTTGTACGAGACTTACTATATATAGTTCAATTGCACTGCGGTGTTTAATTGAAAAGATTTAATCGCGCTTTAAAAATACGAGTGCATTTTTGTCTAAAGTAACTACGTGAAAAGTGACTTTAAATTCAAGTAACGTTTTAGCTTTCGATTCAATCTCAGCGATCGTTCTATCTAGGATACGAGGTCGAGGATAATCGGTAGAATCAAACCATCTATTTTATGACTTGCATTTAAATTTTACGAATTACGCGAACGTATACATTGTGCACGAATGTATTATATTGCGTATTATTATGATTGTTTTATTTTATTAAATTAACATAAATGTGTATAGCATTCATCTTTATTCAAAGCATTTTCACTTTTAGAACGGAATTTCGACAATCTAAAAATTTCCAATTAATAATGTACAAGTAATGCATTGCTCTATAAAAAATATTTCAAAGTCCTTTTATCTTTTTGAAAATAGCGTTAAAGTTGCCATCATTGTTCCAAAATTCTCCTTTTCTAAAATTATCGTTGTTATTTTCTTTTTTTGAGATTGCATTTATTCACTTTTATGTATCTTTTTAAAAAACAAATGTTCGATAAATTTGGAAACATTTTTTTTCCGGAGAAACTTTTCGTTGTAAGTTAAATTTATCTTTCGGTAAGAAAACAATGTAAAAATATTTTAAAAAATCTCACAAAAATTCATCCATCGATTAATTAAATTACGAGCAAAAAACCGGAAACGAGAAAAAATTCTTTATAAATCTGTAAGGTCAGTTACAAACACATTCATAATGTATATATGAGATACTTTTACACATACATTACTCGGTAAGTTTATCGTCTCCGATACAGCACTACTCAATGCCAAGGTGGTCACAAATACCAACGACCACATTTTCCAAACGATTTAATTTCACGCCGCGTTTCCTTCAGCTGCGATCTTCGCCGTTCAACTCGCTTTCCACCGACCGACGCTCGCGCATCACTGACGATTCGACGGCATGCCTAAGACAAGTCACTGGTATTTATCATCGGGGAGATGCGATACACTGTGTCCGGTCGTATCATCGCTCAAGTATTGCTGGATTATCGGTGCACGTGCTCGCGTGATAATGCTCAGCGTGTTTCAGAATCCGAAAAATGTTATCAAAACACTGCACTGTGGCGAATGTTCAGAGAATGCATCCAAATTTTTAACTCATTGTTAGCTCAGAAGCTCCTAAATAAAGTGTCACACATATATCATTAAAATATAAATATATTGACACACATATATCATTAAAATATAAATATATTAAACATTGAAAACTATATATATAACGTGTGATGTATAAATGTGAAATCATAATATATTATAAATATATATTACAAATTGTTTTAAATTATATCTCGCGTATTTATTTCAGGTAAGGGAAGATTGTATATATATATATAATACATTATAAGATTATATAATGTTTGTCTGATATTTATTCCATTATTCATGTGATAAACACGCTTCAAGGTGTATTCGCTAAAAACGATACTTCACTGTACGATGTTTGTTTTGCATAAAAACAAGATTTTCATCGCTTATCTACGTGCAGTAAAATTTTATTAATATTTTAATAAATAAATCAAGATCGCGATTTCACGTGCATATAAAATTAATAAATATTATTGATATGTTGTTTTTGATACATGCATCAAAAAAATCAAGATGCAATCAGATTGATCTAATCTCAATGTGACATTTTATAAAAATTTTTGGATATCATGGTATCAAGTATCATAATACAAATAAAATTCTGTTTTTTGCTCTTAATAATAACAATTTTCTATAATCTTAGTTGTTTGTCGTCTATTAGTTATTTTTATTTTTATTTTTAAAATTTGCATCGCGATAATATAATTTTTTCTTTTGTTGAAAAAGAAGATTGATATGATTTTATGATCAAAATAGATGATAAATGTACAACATAAACTAATGATATATTATTTAACATTGGGTAAAGATTTCAAAACAAAGTGTTAAGATTGTATAAATCAGAGACTACGTCAATATACAAAATATTCTAATTTAATTTTCCCAACCGCAGATATATGAAAGAAGCAAGAAGAAAGATAAAAATAAAAATGTAGATAATAAATTTTAAAGATTAGAACCAGATTTTTAGATTCTAAAAATAGAATACTATGTGACAAAGTCGTTTGCAAAAAAAAAACAAGCAAAAAAATTTCTACATCTCATTATAACTAAAAGTTTGTCATAATTAGTGTAATCTTTTAGTCAAATTCACGCTGTTTCGATTTTACATGATTTTTAGAAGAAAAATATGGCAACTTTTTTATTATATAAATTAACTTTATCGATCTATACCGATCAAGCAACAAAATGTACTAGGTGTACACATATTATCATTTAGAGGTAAACTGTGCATGAAAAGGCAAGATACGTTTCCATGCCGTTGTGCGGCGTGCACATTGAGTTTCGTAATTAAAATTCGTTACCGATCGCGATATAATGATTTAAAAAATTGGAAATAAGCATGCAGTTATACTATATTAAAATCGAAACCGATTTGGTTTAATTTGATGAAGATATCACAAGAGTTTCGCGTTTATAAAAATTGTTGCAAGGTATAATTTATTATCTTGAATTTTTATAAATTGTAATTTAATTTTATTAATTCATGTAATACACGCATACAGACACACACACACACACACACACACGCACACACACACACATATAGTTCTTGCAGAACCGAAACAAACGCTCATATTTTCTTTGTTAATTTCTGTTTGCCACATGAATATTGTTTCTTTTATCATTTTCGGCGAAATGTTTATTTTTCGTATATTATTTCATTAACTTTAATTAATTTTATAATTTTAATTCTATTTTTTTTTCTCGTTATTGATTTTCGCTCCGATTTCAGCACGAATGCGATTTTGACACTATCGATTTTGCAAATCTGGCACATTCAACAATATTTATTGTGATTGTATTGAAAACTTCTGTGCATGTCAGTGTGCGTGTGTGTGTGTGAAAATATTTTTTCCAATCTAAATAAATTTAAAGCATTTTACAATGAATCTTAGAAAAGTTTTAAACTTGAAATATATTTTAATCCTTTATCCTTTTATTCTTATCCTTTTCAAACCATGTATTACTTACTTTACTTTGTCGTCGTACAATATTGAGGAAAGAAACCGATTAAGCTTTACACAATTCTACGAGATATTTAATGACGCTTAACCGCAACAATTCGGACATTACTATTATATAAACTCATATCCTGGTTACACGAATGATTCAGAAACTTTGAGGTCATTAAGCATTTGTGGCGATAAAAGATAATTGAGCTGCTATTAATATATCGGAAATTTTTATCAAATTAAAAATTTTTCCTCATTTTTATGATTAATGCATAGATTGTTACTTAGATATTCAGACAAACTTGTGAGACATGATAATTTATAAAAAATTTTTGCAAGCTACAAAGCTGTCAGGGAATAATATTTAAAGAGAAGAATAAAATTATGGCGACCGTGAAAAAAAAATCATCATGGTCTCATATATTGTTATTAGTAATAGTAATAAGAATTTTAACAAACAAATTGTATCCTCACGATGCTTTCAGAACATTGACCGCGCTATTTCTCTAATTAACGTGCGGTGGTCAACAAATTTGTGACAATTAAGCCACTTAATGCAGATGTACACGTTTGGCATTCGTACACGCACGCGCGTGCCATTTTTAAAGGATTAAGTTAACCGGGGTTAATGGAGGAACGACTATGCTGCAGCAGCTTTTATGCTTAACCGGACTTCTGATACATATATAATTCGATATAATTCGTATACTTTCTCTATAAATGTGAGAATAATTTATACTTTGATGATTTATGTAATGGAAATAACTAATCAAAAACATTATTATTATATGTATATATAAATTTTTTTTATCTGAAGAGATTTTTTAAAAATAAGGAATCTGCTCTTAACGTTTCTTATGCTACATTCGAAAGCAGTTTGATCTTTTAAACATGACAGCATCATCATGACACATGTATCGGGTATCCGAGTATTTTCCGCGACATGTAAATCGCGGCTTGGGTGATGATTTTCCACGCCTTTGATGGTAGAATGGCACTCGACAGCACATATCGCTTTTATCAACGAACTTAAAATTCCTTCAAAGCATTATTCGAAATGATACGAATTGAGATATCGCTTTATGATATTGCACGAATTTATGGTTTGCATAGGTAATTAAACAATCCGCCGACGCGACGCGATACTACATGTTATATGATAACACAACTTACGATCCAATAATTTCCCATACAAATATGTCCAATACATTTCAATATTATTGTAACTTGATTACCAAAAAAATTACTCTCATATTAAACACTTCTAATGTTTAAGATAAACATTAAAAGTATTTATCTTAACTATATTTTCTCTTTCTTTTTTTTAAGGAAATAAAAATTCAGGATTTTTCAGCAGGAGAAGCAAATGTATGAAGAGACGCAATGTATGAAAAATACGAGTAAAGCGAACAGAGCCGTAATTGGTATTCTAGGATTAACTTCGAACGTTCCTGGAAAAAGATGCTGTCGATTTACTTCTTTCGTCTCGCGTATAAAATTGCAGATTGCAGATGATTATTTTTCTGTCCAGTCCTACGTAGCGGCGCCGCGAACACGAGGTGACGTTTGGCGCCGGCATCCCTTCTCTCCTGGTGGAGAACAAGTAGCTTGAAAGACTTTATCCAAGTTGCGTCTTCAGGCAATACGATAGTCGTTACGCTCGAGCCGCCAGTTCCGCACGATCTGCACGAGCAAACACATTTTCCAACTTCGTAACGCGAGTGCGAAACACGAGTTCGAGCTCTCGAGCTCTTCCCCTTCAAGTCGGCCGGATATCCGAAATTTCGTTTCTATAAATAGGTGTGTCTCTGATAAATTCTCATTAATCGATAGATTAACGATCTTTGAATGGTTTTATGCGCTACACCGTTCGATTAATCCGTTTTAATGCGCGTATCAAATTGAAATTTTATTCTGAAGCCATCTTCTTGATTTTTTTCGGCGATAAGTCAAAATTTCTTGGATAATACCGAAATTAATTAATATCGATAATTTCAATTATTTTGACCATAAAAAGATAAACATTGTATATATGTTGTATAACTTATCATTCAAATATCACATTCTTTATACGATTTTTTATATTCCAAATTTGAAATATTTCAAAATAGCTTTACTAACAGATTCTCTAAAAAATTTGGAGATTTAATTTTTTTTGCGAAAATGTGAGATATATATTATTATTTATTACAATTTTTTAAATTTTATCATTTATAATATTATTATTTATTTATAATATTATTATTTATTTATAATATTATTATTTATTACAATTTATATAAATTTTATCGTTTATAATCAAGCTATAAATTAAAACTCTATTAAAGTCTACTTGAAATTAACGGAAGAATACAAATATTTATTTTTTATTTGCATCCTTGTGAAGATTAGTTCACGATAAGCGGTAAGTCTCTTTTTTTAACTCGGGAAGATTGTGTAGAAAAATGCACATATCTCGAGAATTACAGCAGCATGTTACAGCCTTGGCGGCATGTAGCACAAAGTGCAGAATTAAGATCGTCTACAAAAATCTGCTTAAATTGCCAGGTGTAACTGCGCTGACGCCACTTGCGCGGTTTCCGCACCCCAATCATAATTAGTTTGCAACAGGCATGATAACTGTAATAACGCGGTAATAACAGTGAGGAAAAGTTGCTAGCAGAGTCATTTTAGGCGCCGATATTTTCTGCACCCTTCGTAACGGTGTTTGCCTTCGATCCTACTTTTCCATTTTATTTTCCTCTTTCTCTCCGTTTCGGTTCAACGCTCTATCCTTCTATATGATTGATATTAAATGCCTAAACAAATATTGTATTGATCACTACTTTTCAAGATCCAATTTGGCGAGATACTGTAAACATAATATTAATCATCACAATATTAAATATGTCATAATAAAAGATAACATAAAACATTGACAAAATGATATTTTAAAGGCTGAACCAACAAAGTTCGTTCTTCCAGATGTCAGATAAGAGAATTTTATTTAACTTTAAACTGAGCGAATATGATACAGTAAAGTTTACCTTCTAATCATATCAAATTATAGTCCTAGTTTGTTGTCAAAATTTAGGAAAATCGATAAGAGGGAATTTATTATATTGACTTTCATTTCATTTATTAATTAGATTCGATTCGTCGTCACGGCGTGAGTTGATCGATTTCTCACGATTTAAACTGTTGTTGTGGTTAGTTGACATACTTTCAATATCCTTATCTAACATAAGCGTCTTCTTAAACTTTTTATCGCGAAATCTCTCTTTTTTTTAGAAAATTGTCGGAATAACGTTTATCATTGCTTTACTTGGATAAATTACAGTCATAAAGAATATTAAAGCACACAAAAAAAGACTTGCAATACATTAAGAGCTCTACGCTGACAAGGGAAAGCGATAAGGAAGAATTAATTGGCAAATGTTTCGGTCTGAGCATATGATAAATTTATTCCTACGTTTTGGTACGCAGTGTTCAGTAAACAACTCTATTATAAAATTGTATACTCGTATATATACGTATACAAATTGTGTTTTAGAATTATTGTAAAAGTTGAAATAAATAGAATACATTACATCCTACATTCAAAATAACTGTAAATTATGACTTATTATATATTATTATATATTACATGTGTGAAATATTATAACTTATTTAAATGTGAATTTTAAAAAAATGTAAATAGCATATGATCCGAGGAATCTTAATATTAAGAAAGAGATTATTGGAATTATTATCTTTTTATTACTTTTAGGAGACATTAATTAGACAGCCTCTAGAAATAAAGATAAACTCTGACATAAAGTTTCCGTGAGATTAAAAATTATATATGTATGCTATGTAATATATAAAATTATCATATATACATTTATAACATCTGTGTTTGTTGTAGATTAGCGCTGTTGAACTTACTCATTAAGTAATATTCATGGATAATGTAACTGACACGTCATCTCGTCGAAACAGAGTTGTAATTTATAGATAATATACCGTGTACGAATAAATTTATTGTTTACTAAAACCAAACAAATCGTCAATTAGTTCTTTCTTAATTTAATTCTTCTTCTATTAATTCACAATTAATAGAATTCAACATTATTGATCATTTTGAAAAATTGATAAGAGAATATAAACATTTTAATTTCGATCTAATTATTTTCTTATAACTTTATAAGATGAAAAATTATGTTACTCTTACAGTTTTATTCCGATAAAAAACTCAGTCTTAGGCTGTTCGAGATAATGTAATTTTTTTCATTTTCTTTGCTTATGTATACTCATATCATAATCTATTTGAGATATATGCGAGAAACTAGAAATTAACTTTACTGTTTTAATGAGATAAGAAACAGTACCGATAATTATTCGTATTAAAGCGTTATATGCGCATGAATAAAGAACCTGTCATTAGATCTGCGATTACAAACAAGTTGATTCTAATTCCGTTAGATAAATCAAGATGCAGATATAATTACGATGAGTAATAACAATTAAGGCGCGCATGAAGATATTTTACTATTCTGACACGCGTGTTTATAGAGATCAGTTTTTAATGATCAATCATCAACAATAATTGTCCTCGTTAATTATTATTGACTATCGGTCGTGTAATTCAGTTAGCCTTGTCATGCTATTGCGGGTTCAGCAATGTCCGTTATTGCGAGAAACAATTTCTTGTTGGAGCACGAGAGGTGAAAAAAGTAGGAAAATAGGTGAAAAGAGGAGGGAGGAGGTGGGACAAGGGAGATTAGAAACAGGGGAAAATGTAATCTCACACACTAATATGCACACATTAAGATGTGTTTCATTTATCTGATAAATAGAGAATTAATAACGGATGTGTTGTAAATAGATGACCGGTAATGATCGGTATTTTTTAATCTGTCGCCGGCGCATTTACATCTTTTACCATCCATGTTACAGATATCCGAATACCGAAAAAGTAACTTGAGGGAAGTGCAAGCAGGCAGTGATATGAAGGATACGAAAACCACTGAATATGGTATGTTGATAATAAATTCTAAGGATAATAGATACGAGTTACAATAAAAGAAGCTAAATTTCTATATCGCAATATTATAACGGTAACAATACTTACGAATAAAATGATAGATTAATCGATAAAATATAGATTAAAAATTCTAATAGGTTGCAGCTTTTTAATGCTTTGAAATACACCATTAATAATTTATAATACTTTTTTATATTTCAAAGAATTTAGGATAGCAAATAGAGAACAGAACTGTATTCTTTAGTTAATTTCACACATGTGGATTCTTCAAATAAAATTTTAAATAAAATTTTAATTACAAATATATACAGTAGCAAAAGCTGCGATTGACTGATCTATTTTTGCAACAGTTGATTTTAAATTTGTTTCAAGCTTTATCCTATTTTCAAACGTCTTTAAAGGACTAGATTTATTGCTCGCATTTATTTTGGCACGTAGTATGTAACAATCTTAGAATAAATTTGTATCGTACGATGAAGGTATGACAGATTGAAAGGCGAGACTGACCTTTCGAGTCTCCGAAGAAGGATGTCGATGTAAGTCGGAGATCGAAGGTTGTCTTCTTGATGTCTCGAGGTTAGCACGCATTTTATGGTTCACACGCACTGTCTAGCGTTTTTTTCTTCTACGAACTGGTTTGGCCGTTGTTTACCGCAGTACATACTATGTACTGCCATTGCATGCACCGATCCTCTATCATTGTATCGTCAAGCAATTGTTAGCAATTCCTATTATATCCATCGATGGCCGCGTGAATTTCGTTTCGACTGTCTAAAATTTGCTTGGATAAAAAAATGCCCACTCGCTCATATCATATAGAGTGAATTGATATAAGCTTAATTTATATATTAAAAATCTTTCCGTAATGTTAATTTCTTGATGATTTAACCTTATCAATTTTAATTTTTTTAATTTTCAGTGATAAAAATTTAGTTTCGTATACTATAAATTTTGAATAAATTTTTATCCGCGCATATATTGTGTATAATACAATAACTTATAAATTATATTTTAAACTTATTTACAGATTATTTATTAGAAATATCTGTAAGAATATGCTCAGTTTATGAATATTTATGAATCATTTGTCATATGAGCAAATAAAATTAAATCATTTATATGCAGCCGTGCTTGACAATTGCAATGAATCGATGATTTAATTTCAAACTTATGGTACGCTGAGCGAAGAAAAAATGGTAGTTTCCTTATTTAATAGACTCTTCATATTAATTCTTCTTATTAATTCCTCGTTAGATTTCATATGCGCGTTGTTTTAATACAATTATTCATACAATTACTCGCGCATTATTATCATTTTCTGGAAATCTCATTACATATCGTAAATGATCAGCTATGCAAATATAACTTGTTTTAATAGATATGTATATGCAAATGAGTATTGTCCATACAAATGTGTGTTTCACGATAAACTATTTTATCAATGTAACAGGAAAGATCCGTCCAAGCATTATTACGACATTCGACCGCACTCATTAACCTCCATTAAGTCTCCATTAACTTATAATGTCTATATAAAAAACAAATAACCTTTTGAAAAGTTATACTTCATATAATCTCATTGTAATAAAGAGTGCATTTTTTTTTCTTCCTTTTTTACAAAAATCGAACAATTATGCACGTTATTAGATGATGTAATTGGTGCCCCAAATAAGTCGAGGAGCAATAGATCAACGCACGTGTTATGTACATCTTCACGTATTACATAATGCAATGAATTTATAATCATAATAATTAATGAGCGTAATTAAATCTTATGTTTGACATGTAAGAGAGAGAAGTTGTTGGAAAGCAATATATCATGCAAATATGTAGATTCTGTCTATGATAACAGATTTGCGTCATGCATTTCGCGTTGTCGCGAGAAGAACAATACATGTTTCACGGCTATTAATCGCAATACTAATTATATTATCATTTTTTTTTTCCTGTCACTCGATTTATAATACGAAAAAATATGAGGATAATTAATTCATTTCTATATATAAAAATATAAAGAATCTTTCTACAAGATACAATATATCTAAGGTAGAATCGAGTTGTAATTTAAAGAAAAATAAAATCAATTTAAGAAAAGCTCCGAGTAATTAATAAAATTAAAAATAAAATATAGAATGGCAATAGAAGCCGGCGCCGTATGTCAGGCGCAAATAAATTAAAGCACAAATTAATTAGTAAAGAACATACGATGGATATTTATTAGTCTATAGTCAATTAAACAATTTAAATCAGAAACAAACGTTTTGGTCTCTTTTTTGGACCTTCATCAGCGCAACGGAAAATTCTAATAAATACAATGTCAAATCAGTTAGATACAATATTAAGCCGCGGTCAAACATCTAAACAATTCTACGCAGAATATGTCCCTCCATGATTGGCAGACCACGAAGGCGTAAAGCGGATAAGATATCTATCCGTAATCCCCCTCATAAGCACCAATAAAATGTTGTTAAATGTGTAAAAATCTGGAAATTCAGAAGCATGGAGAAACAAAATCCCGACAGAAACAATAAAAAGGAGAACCGCAAAGACTTACATACATATGAGTTTTTTTTTTATACACGCACTCACTCAGAACTCAATGAGGAAATCAATCATCGGATAAAAACACACAATTATAATAAAAAAATAGGTCGAATCCGCAAAAATAACATTAAATTAAAATTAAATTAAAATGAATATAGAGCTGTGGAGCAGGAGACTAACGATGCTCACAGCATTTTAACGTGCAGTGGTTAGTTTCGAATTCGATAACAAAATTATTTAAATAATAGTATATGTACGGAGCGGTGTATACAAACATCAATATTGAGATTAACCTTTAAAAAGTTTTTCAATAGCAGCAATATAAGTCTCATGTAAGCAGATTTTTACACATTTAACAATATTTTATTGGTGCTCATAAGGGGGATTACGGATGGATATCTTATCCGCCTTACGCCTCCGTGGTCTGCCAATTATGGAAGGACATATCCTGCGTAGAATTGTTTAGATGTTTGATCGCGGCTTAATATTGTATCTAACTGATTTGACATTGTATTTATTAGAATTTTCCGTTGCGTTGATGAAGATCCAAAAAAGGGACCGAAACGTTCGTTTCTGATTTAAATTGTTTAATTGACTATAGACTAATAAATATCCATCGTATGTTCTTTACTAATTAATTTGTGCTTTAATTTATTTGCGCCTGACATACGGAGTCGGCTCCTATTGCCATTCTATATTTTATTTTTATTTTTAGTAATTTAAAGAATCTTAATTAATAGCGATCTTGACACGAATTTATACGAATATGTACAGATCTTGTTAAATTGCAGCAAACGTGAACGTCAAGCAAGTTTCCAACGGTAAGGACGATCATGTCGACTCTGGCGCGAATGTCGACGCCGTGCAAATCACGATCGGCAATCTCGGCAAGTGGCAGATCATCGTCTGCCTGGCGATTTCTCTGGTCAAATTTCCGGTAGCGTGGCATCAATTGGCGATCGTTTTTATGGCGCCTCATCAGAATTACAATTGTACGGCGCCCGCTACCGTCGACTCCAAGGACCAGTGCATGGTCAATGTTAACGGCACCCTGGCAAAATGCACGGAATGGGAGTACGACAGGAGAATATTTCCCGAGACAATTATATCGCAAGTAAGTTGTTACGTGAGTTTAAAAGCCGTCTGCTTTTAGTTTGCAAAGCGAAAAACGAGCGTGTTTGTTTAAAAATTATCTTGCCAAATAAAAGAATCGGAAGTTATTTTGTGTCGTTTTAGTGGAATCTAGTCTGTGATAGGACGCATTACGCGAATATCCAACAGTCTATTCTTATGTTCGGGGTGCTTCTCGGCAACATAATCTTCGGCAGCTTAGCAGATAGGCAAGTTCATATATGATTGAACGTTCATAGCCGTGAAACGATTACGAAGGAATAAAGAATATTGTATCTTACAGGTATGGCAGAAAAAAGCCGCTGATGATTTCTGTTGTTCTCCAACTGTTATCGGGTATTGGATGCGCAGTCGTTCCTTGGTTTCAAGTATTATTGCTGATGAAGTTGTTAAGTGCTTTGGCCACTGGAGGCACGATGGTTACTAGTTACGTTATTTGTAAGTGTCTCGATCCTCAAATATACGAAGCTATTATTAACGAAGATTTTTGCAATGATAAATATTAAAATAAAATTGCAATATTCATACAATTACCTTCATAATATTTTTAATTATTGTATTAAAATAAATATTAACAAAAATTATCTTATTTCTTAAAATCTTGAATTATAGATAATTTAATCACTGTCTGTTATCTCTCTCTCTCTCTGCACGTAAATTAAAATAATTATTTTTATCTAATATATATATAAATGATATAAATCGATACAGATTGCAATCGACTTGTGCGATTCGTTTCTCCAAAATTATAAACGTGTTCTTTATTTGCGTATTTTATTTTTAGGTATGGAAATAGTAGGTACAAAATGGCGTGCCGCCATCACCGTTTTATATCAAATACCATTCAGCTTAGGCCACATGTCGCTGGCAGGACTCGCGTTCTGGTTTCGACATTGGCAGCAACTACAAATCGCCATTACACTACCATCTATAATTCTTTTAAGTTATTGGTGGATAGTGCCCGAGTCACCGAGATGGTTACTAGCCATGGGAAAGCAGAGAGCAGCGTGCAAAGTATTGCAGAGAGCGGTCAATATTAATAAAGTGGAAAATGTGGACGTTCCCGAAATAGTCAGAAAACATTGCTTGCATCAAGTAAGAGACAATTGTTCAAAGTATTCCGATGAATCCAAACGATCCGTATAATAATCATCGCAATTTTCGACAATTAAATTTGTAATTCATTGTCAGAGGGAAACGGTGTTACACGCGGTTCAAAAAATATTAATTTCACGTTCGCGTTTTTGTATTTCAGAACTTCAAGAAATCTGCGCTGGACCACAAGGCTTCGTTTCTAGACTTGTTCCGCACACCGAACATGCGAGTGAAATCCCTCTCGATTTTCTTCAATTGGATCGTTTGTGGAATGGGTCTGTTTGGCATATCACAGTACATTGGTCAGGTCGGTGGTGACATTTTCATTAATTTCGCAGTGTCCGGTGCTATACAGATTCCAGGAAACTTCGTCGCATGGTGGGCGATGAATAAACTAGGTCGACGAATCACTCTGATCTGCAGCAATTCCATAACTGGCCTGGCTTGCCTGCTCTTAATTCCCGCATCACACGGTAAGCAATTATACTATGTAATTCAATATTATTGCCTTTCGGTTTGTGTAGCTACTTTTAAATAACAATAATAAAACAAGTTTTGTAAAAATTTTAATTTAGAATCTATATATCTTGACGATGTTCTGATCTATAATAAGTTTTTTTAAATTTCTTTTATATAATATGTATATAAAATTTAAAAGAGGAAAATTTCTCTTTTCAAAATAATTTCCCCAAAATAAGAAGCAAGTTTGCTGGTTTTTTTTTTTAAGGATGTTGCTCGTATAATCGAAAAGGATTTTCTTTTCTCGCAAAATTGCTTTATTTATTGATTAAAATCGTGTTTCTAGAAATAGAGATTAATTAATATCAAGAAACGTTTTGTTACTTTAAATAATAAAAAAGTTTACGAACGATAACCATCAAGCACAATTGTTTAAATCGACGTATTGATGATACATCTATCTCTGTTTTTAGACATGGCATGGTTAAGATTGCTTCTGGCATGCCTCGGTATTGTCGGCATGTCGGTGTCATTTACGACAGTCTACCTTTTCTCCGGAGAACTGTTTCCTACAGTTGTAAGGAACATCGGAGTTGGCGCGAGCAGTATGTGCGCTAGAATAGGTTCCATTGTAGCGCCGTTTGTGGTGTCCTTGGTAAGTTTACACGTATTAATTAGAGCCAGTTACGTAAACTTGAATAACATTATTTTGATTTATAAATAGTTTCAAACGTGAGACTAAAATTTTGAACTTCGGACAGGTATCATGTACATAAAAAAATCGTCGCGCGAATTAGTGCATTAATTAGTTCCCTAGATTACCAATTGTTGATACTATTCCAGGATTACATTGAATCGTGGCTACCGCCAATTATATTCGGAGTTCTGCCGTTGATTGGAGCCGCATTGTGCCTATTATTGCCTGAAACTGCCGGATGTACATTACCGGAAACGCTTCAAGACGGAGAGGAATTTGGAAAGTAAGTGTCAAACTTCTTTTCATCCGATATCTTTTTCATAAACCTCAAATATTACTAATTTTCATATATGAGCATCTGCTGCATGCAGATGAATTGTTGATTGATTACTTAATGCATTATTAAATTCCTCAAAAAAATTGTTGAATGTTTTTTGCATTTTTTTCACGTATGTGTCAGATACAAATTAATAATATAATATAATATGTATGCTCCTGAATAAAATGCAATACAGAGGTGTTTATGAAGGTAACAGTTTTTATATCAAATATAAAAGTTGAGTATATTATAAACTATGAAACACGTTGCTTTTCTTCTGTGCAGGAAGTGTAAGTCGAAAGAAAAACATGGAGATCTCGAAGCAGAAGCGACATTTTAAAAGAAAATTGATCGCCATAAGATTTTAAATATTTTCGCAGCCGAAGCAGTATCGAATTATTATTATGACAAGTTTTATGAAAAATAAACCGATACACTGATAAAAAATACATTTTACGATTAATCGTGCATATATTTAGTATAATTCTATTTATTATTATGTTATTTTCATAATATTAACAAAATTAGCACGATTGTCATTGATCATCATCTCATCATATTCACACATTTCTTATATAATATATATAAATCAAAGCTGACATTTTTATATATTGATTAATATATGTATACGCCAACCACAATAAGTATATGCGATTATTCTGTAAAGTTTTGCCAGATGTATATATATATTATAAATAGAAATTCCCTTTTGTAGGCAAAAAGCGCATTTCTTTATTTATTAAGTAGTCAATTTAGCTTAATATTCAACGACATGTTTGTCTTCCACTTTGCGAATCATGTCAGCTTTATAGGCGAATATCTCTGATATCAGTATTGTGAGCGATTTCCGTTCGCACATTTTACATGTAATATACAATATTATAAATATAGATACAACTTTGCAAAAAATGCGTTTATCTCATTATTTTATAAGTAGCAAATATATTGCATAAAATTATTTTTCCTAGCCTTTCCTCTGCCGTGCATAATTCTTAAAGATGTTTACAATTGTTTCATAATTGACTAACACTTTGCGCGAGATAATTCCTTTATTTAACTTGCATAAGTAAGCAGATAGCGAATAACTTAACGATTGTCGTGTTGCGCGTAATCTTTTAGTCCGGGAACTAAGAATAAGACGATGCGCGCACAGTCACAATCACAATTATCAACGATGGAAGAAAAAGGATTAACTTTGCCCATGTAATAAAAAATTAAATTAGAATGAAATAAAATAAATAATTTCTCACTCGATATTTTTACAAATTTTGTAATTAAACAATACATGAATAAAGAGAATAAATTTACATAATATACAAATAGTAAATGAGATAGTATCGAATAAGTCCTTGATTCTATGTAGGTGATTCAAGAACTACAGAATGTTTTTATAACAAAAACTTTTTAAATCTTTTTAAAGTTAATTTTTGTTTGACAAAAATGGCAAATAGTAAATGAGATAGTATCGAATAAGTCCTTGATTCTATGTAGGTGATTCAAGAACTACAGAATGTTTTTATAACGAAAACTTTTTAAATCTTTTTAAAGTTTTCTTTCATTTTTTCACTTAAATCTTTCGAAAGATTTTTCCCTTATATTATTAAACATTATTTCACTTTATAATATTATATTTCAAAACAGAATTTTGTTAAAAAATAATCGAAAAATATGTGATTTTATTATTAATTTAATTTTCTAAAGCTCTCAATTCGTAAAGAAAAAACTATTTTTCATTATTGATGACCATGTGTATTTTCTTCCGGCATCAGCATCAGCAATTTTAACAAAGACTCGTTAATACTCGTCATTGAAACATGGTATCGGCATATAAAAGCCAGCGACACGGTCTACAACAGACGTCATTCCACTTCATCGTTCCACAGAAGACCGGTCAGATTAAGCAGTGAGTAATTTTGGCATCACTTAATCACTTAAGACAATCTTGTTTTTTTATAAATTTAGAGTAATAAATATGTCCTTGAATTAATAATGCAAAATTCGACATTTATTCTACGTGTTAAATATTATTTAGTTGAAAAAAAAACAATTCTTATTTTTGTGAACAATAGATATTTCTATAAAACAAAAAATGTTTGCTAATTTTTTATATAAGCAAAAAAAATTATTATCTATATATAAATTTATATTTTTCATAACTAATAAACTCGAATAATTTCTTTTACCTAAATTTATTACATTTATATATAAATAATATGTGTATGTGTTATATATAATAATATGTGTATGTGTTATATATAAATAATATGAGGATATTACATCTATTTTATGTTCTAATTTTTAAAAATTGACTATAACATTAATATAATGTAATTGTAATTGAAATTTAACTGAACCATATCTCCGCGCGGCTTTATAAGATATTTAATATTAAAAATACTATAATTATATTTTATTAAATAAAATAAGTTTTTATTAAATAGAATTTTACTTAAATAGAATTCACATATAATATTAAATAAAGAATTAAGTTTTGTCCTTTGTTTACATCCATCAATTTAATTTCAAAAGAGTTTATTTTTAAATGTAAAGGCTTTCAATATTTTCATCATCGAAAACTCTGCAGCAAATTGAGCTAACAAAGGAGTCCAGAAATCCGGTTCTTATAAGTAAAAACTTGGTCTAATTTGAATATTTTGCCGAAGGCAAAACGGTGCTAACGGTGAAAATATTCGGGCACTGCTTTACATTTCATTACCATATTAACATTGACACATACAATTTTGTGGTCTATATCTTGTAATATGATGCAAAGAAATTTAATATAAAACATTAAGATAAACTTTATAATATATATTAGAAAGAAAGAAAGAGAGAGAATTATCATTAATATATAATTGCATTCTATTACATTTATATTGATCTATTCAGACGTTATCAATTTTCTGTCAACTCTTGCTCGCTATAATTATTATAATTACTAATGTATTTATTCGTCAATGTAGAAAAAAATTTATAAATATGTTTTTCTATTTCTGTTTATTTTCTATAACATTTTTTTTTAAGTTAGACCACTTATATCCGGATCACTTGAAGCTTTTGTCATGAATAATTTTAATCATACTATTCACACTACATTCATAAAAGTATCAGTCAAGGTTGTTTTTCTTGTTCCCAAATTAAAAAAGATACTGCATCTGAATCTCTCTCAAACATAATCATTAATCAATTTGAATCATATACATATATAATGAAAGCTGCATAGATAAAGCAGTAAAAGCTTTTAATTTGTTATGGAATGTACAAACACAAAGAGCTATCATTACACTAATAATTTTATTATAATTAATATTTTGTTCGTAATTTAATTATTTTTGTAACTATTCTACGAAATAAATTTGTGCTTTGGAATATTTTCCGAATTAAATTTATAGAGATGTATTTATATTTATATGTATGAATGTCCTTCAGTAAGTGAGAGAGATATAAAGAATTAAGAGAACAATGTATTTTCATGTTTTGGAATATTTTAAAATTCATAGAAATGTGTGTTTTCAATGTTTTTCAGTAATTATATGATATAAAGAATTGAGAGAGAATTATAATTAACTTTATGAACTCAGAATAACCGATGCAAATAATTCTAAGAACTTGGCAATTTGTGTTGAAACGAGCAGAAAGAAACGGTAAAAACTCAAGAAGATTAGATTTAAAAATGAAAACCAAATCTTTTCATGTTTAAAAAATTTGCGTGTTCATCTTCCGATGAATAATTATATTTGTTATTATCATTAATCACATTTTTTATATAAATGGCTGCCGTGCAGTGATTGCGAAAATTGAATTAATATCTAAGTGTAAATTATTAGCTATTACATTCACAACATTTCTAGGAATGTTTGATAATCACTTACATTACTATTATGATGCATTAATATAGTATTTAATATTCAGTTTTGCAGAATTAGTAAATATTTACGATCATCTGTTGTTATATATTTTATTTTAAGATCGTTTATTATCTATATATAAATTTATATTTTTCATAACTAATAAACTCGAATAATTTCTTTTACCTAAATTTATTACATTTATATATAAATAATATGTGTATGTGTTATATATAAATAATATGAGGATATTACATCTATTTTATGTTCTAATTTTTAAAAATTGACTATAACATTAATATAATGTAATTGTAATTGAAATTTAACTGAACCATATCTCCGCGCGGCTTTATAAGATATTTAATATTAAAAATACTATAATTATATTTTATTAAATAAAATAAGTTTTTATTAAATAGAATTTTACTTAAATAGAATTCACATATAATATTAAATAAAGAATTAAGTTTTGTCCTTTGTTTACATCCATCAATTTAATTTCAAAAGAGTTTATTTTTAAATGTAAAGGCTTTCAATATTTTCATCATCGAAAACTCTGCAGCAAATTGAGCTAACAAAGGAGTCCAGAAATCCGGTTCTTATAAGTAAAAACTTGGTCTAATTTGAATATTTTGCCGAAGGCAAAACGGTGCTAACGGTGAAAATATTCGGGCACTGCTTTACATTTCATTACCATATTAACATTGACACATACAATTTTGTGGTCTATATCTTGTAATATGATGCAAAGAAATTTAATATAAAACATTAAGATAAACTTTATAATATATATTAGAAAGAAAGAAAGAGAGAGAATTATCATTAATATATAATTGCATTCTATTACATTTATATTGATCTATTCAGACGTTATCAATTTTCTGTCAACTCTTGCTCGCTATAATTATTATAATTACTAATGTATTTATTCGTCAATGTAGAAAAAAATTTATAAATATGTTTTTCTATTTCTGTTTATTTTCTATAACATTTTTTTTTAAGTTAGACCACTTATATCCGGATCACTTGAAGCTTTTGTCATGAATAATTTTAATCATACTATTCACACTACATTCATAAAAGTATCAGTCAAGGTTGTTTTTCTTGTTCCCAAATTAAAAAAGATACTGCATCTGAATCTCTCTCAAACATAATCATTAATCAATTTGAATCATATACATATATAATGAAAGCTGCATAGATAAAGCAGTAAAAGCTTTTAATTTGTTATGGAATGTACAAACACAAAGAGCTATCATTACACTAATAATTTTATTATAATTAATATTTTGTTCGTAATTTAATTATTTTTGTAACTATTCTACGAAATAAATTTGTGCTTTGGAATATTTTCCGAATTAAATTTATAGAGATGTATTTATATTTATATGTATGAATGTCCTTCAGTAAGTGAGAGAGATATAAAGAATTAAGAGAACAATGTATTTTCATGTTTTGGAATATTTTAAAATTCATAGAAATGTGTGTTTTCAATGTTTTTCAGTAATTATATGATATAAAGAATTGAGAGAGAATTATAATTAACTTTATGAACTCAGAATAACCGATGCAAATAATTCTAAGAACTTGGCAATTTGTGTTGAAACGAGCAGAAAGAAACGGTAAAAACTCAAGAAGATTAGATTTAAAAATGAAAACCAAATCTTTTCATGTTTAAAAAATTTGCGTGTTCATCTTCCGATGAATAATTATATTTGTTATTATCATTAATCACATTTTTTATATAAATGGCTGCCGTGCAGTGATTGCGAAAATTGAATTAATATCTAAGTGTAAATTATTAGCTATTACATTCACAACATTTCTAGGAATGTTTGATAATCACTTACATTACTATTATGATGCATTAATATAGTATTTAATATTCAGTTTTGCAGAATTAGTAAATATTTACGATCATCTGTTGTTATATATTTTATTTTAAGATCGTTTCTTAATAATTGGCCTTGTTCTGTTAAGAATTATTTACTGTTATATTATCGTTTCGCAAGAGAATTGATATTGTTTGCAGATATGTTCTACTTGCTACTTCTGGCCTGCCTGGCCATGGCAACTGGCTACAGCTTCAATACCGATTACTCGTGGAAGCAGGTCGAATTCAAACTTCCAAATGATACCATCCGAAATGAGTTCATCGCTTCCGGCGATTACATCCCGGATAACAACATGCCATTAGGCTTGGCCACTTGGCACAAAAAAATGTTCGTCACAATACCGCGATGGAAAAATGGCGTTTTAGCTAATTTAAATAGCTTTTCGATGGTCGACGCTACACGTAAGTAAAAAAAAATATAACTTGAATTTTACTAATAATATTGAGCGTATTTTTTTATAATATGAAGAGTTTATATGTAGAATTTATTACTTGTGCATGAGAGAAAGTAATAAATTCTGGGAAAAAAATAAAGAAAAAAAGAATAAGTAATAAAGTAAATGTTGAAAAACTTCTTTTACAATCAGATGCAGTGAGAGAACATTTTTTTAATAAGATAAGTTTGGAAAATGAAAATTTCACGTCAAGTATAAAGAAATCCCTTAAAGAATATCAAAAGTACATTAATATCTTACAATAGAGAAATATTTCTAATTAATAAGTAGTATATTTCAATTATTATATATTTCTCTAACAGACAGTCCGATCTTAACACCGTATCCTAATCTCGAGGCAAATAACATTCATTCACCTGACGGCCTCGTAAATATTTTTCGTGTCAGGATCGATGCTTGCGATCGCATGTGGGGTCTCGATACAGGAATAAACGATATTTTGGGAAATTTCACAGTTGTACGACCGATGACGCTTGTTGTTATCGATTTGAAAACGGATAAGGTATCGTTTCTTAATATATATACAATTTTTTAATTATTATATAACAATTTGTCTATTAATCTTAGCCTGTAATAAAAAATATAAACTGCTATATAAATCACTGGGCGTAATAAAAGTTATAAATTTATACAAGAATGTTAATAATATTTTTAAAATGTATTTGTACGTCGTCAAACTATGTAAGCTATTTGCGTTTGTTAAGATCACTCGCATAAATGTATTATGCACTTATGTGTTTGCAGATTATTCGCAAATACATTCTGAAGGATACAGACGTAAAGCCGGATAGCTTCATCGCCGATCTTGTGGTCGATGTTGCACCCGGACAATGCGACAAAGTCTATGCTTACATGAGTGATTTTGGTGAATATGGTATGGTGGTATACAGCTGGGAAAAGAACGATTCTTGGCGAATTAATCATCATTTCTTCCATTTCGATCCATTAAATGGTAACGTATTTAGAAAATAGTAATATTTTTCTTTTTTTCCATGTCGAGTTTCACGCGATTAAGTTCTCTTTTTCAGAAAATCTCAAGAGATTCTTTTCATCAAAATATGTTTTATTATCTCACATGTGTGTTCTGTTAACTGTTGGAAGGTGATTACAATATTAACGGCTATAACTTCCAATGGACCGATGGTGTTTTTGGAATGTCTCTGTCCCCAATTTGCGATGATGGATACAGAACACTCTATTTTCACGCTATGTCGGGTATCACGGAATTTTCCGTGTCTACGAATGTTCTACAAGATAATACATTGAAAAAAGGGAAGAATCACTATAATTTCCATATTGTTGGTAATAAGGGACCGTTGACTCAAGGATCATCTTCCATCATCGATTCAGAAACATGCATCGACTATTTTACTCAAATAAATAGAAATGGTATAGCGTGTTGGGATACTACAGTAAAATTAAGTCCAAAAACATTCAGTGAGTATTACATGAAAAAATACTTATTAACTCTCCTTGTCTCTATATTTACGTCATTTACTACTATTTCGTTCACTATTATCATTGTTTTATATTCTCCATCTTTCTTTTCAAGCATGACCATAGAATTTCCCGCGTATGATAAGAAATTTTATTAAACTTTAATTAAATTGCAAAGTTATTTATTTATCTTCTAGTGCATCGTTCAAGAATAATTCGCAAAAATATGTAACACATTTCAAAAGAATTTAATTTCAATTTGTATCATTTTTCGACAAAATGTCATAACGTTAGAGCGATCTATAAAGCTGTAGTTCATATATTTCATCAGAGATGTCTCTAAAGTTCATGTTTACAAAAGCATCAGGGAGATATATATTCTGTTAAAATGCTCCGATAAGCGTCAACTTTTGGACAGACACAATATAACAGTTAAAAAAATTTCAAACAAATTAATTTAAATAAATTACTTTAAATTAAGTAATAAGTAACATAATCCGCTTATTTGTTTTATAAAGCTACTATATTAGCTTGCATTGAAGTTACATAAGTTTTCTTTACAGATTTAGTGGCGCAGGACAACACGACACTGGTGTTTCCTCAAGATATAGCTATCGACGATACTTCTCGAAAATTATACGTGCTTTCTAATAATTTACAGAAATTTTTATTTGACAGCTTCGATCCGTTAATGACAAACTTTTTCATTACTTCAGCTGACCTCGGAACATTAACATCTCTGTGCAAAAATAATACAGCAGAGTAGTTAAAGTTAGATTACAAAAAAATATCTTTCTATTTTACTATTTAATTATACATATGTGTAATATTACAGACTTTTATATAAGTATAAATTAAGAAACATTAAGTGTATGATAAGTACTTATATTTCTTTAATGTTAACGCAACGTGTCTACACAAACGTAACTATAAATAAAGATTTCTTTCGATTATCTTTTTAATTTATCGCCTATCGTGATTGACATGTTATTTTTTTTAAATTATGTTGTTGAATAAAAGAATAATTCTCCTATATAGTTTTTCATAAATATGTTTAAGAGACAATGGAAATATTCTTCTAACAAATGAAAAAGGAGATGCATGTTATATAAACTCGCCGTCCTCCTTCTCACTCTCTCCAATGGACAAGCGCGTGTGCATTCTCTCTTTTATTTCTTACATTTTAAGTATGAAAAACGTAAAAAAAAGCGAGGACAGATTCATTATTTCGCAACTTGTGATAAATAGATAAACGCGGCCCATTTGAAAATCAATTGTTCGGGGGGGAATTAAAGCGACGCTATCACAATTAGAAGCAGCGTATTATCGTCCGCGGTGGATTATATAGTTAGAAATTGAAATTTCAACGCGTCATTTTAAAATGAGCGTCAGCTACGTTCTTTGGCCAGTCAATCCCTTGATAATTCACGGAACTTTTAACTGCAACCTTTATAACTCCCGCGGTAGCTTCCGCCCAGAGCTTCCAACTCCCTTCTCTTTCTTCCCGTCAAACCCGTCCTAGGAGCGCTACTTTCTTCCGCCCCCTTTACGACTGGTCTACTCTCTCTTTACGAAGCCGTACATTCTAAATAATTGATCCTAACGTAGTTGCCGGTGTTTTTATAACTGTTTTACCGCCCGCTCTCGCCGCCGTGATATACATTATTTAACCGTTGGTTTTTAAAGCGAAGTCGCCGGGATCCGCGTAGGTGCGAAAAGACTGAAAGGCCTATTCGAGGCCGCGCATCTGCAGAATTAAAATGAATGCCAGCTAAATGTCGCCGCCGCCACCGTTCAATTAAATCGTCGGATTTCTGGCGACGACGCGGATTAACGCGGCAAGGAGAAGGGACGCGAGAGTAATCTCTTAGCGGAATAAGAATGGCAATTGCTTCTTCCGCCTTTATCCAACGCGGTTTCCTCATCCCGATTTATAAGAAGTCCCGCGTATTCATACGATCAAATTCCCGCGGGATATGTTTTAGTAAATCAAATTACGCATACCGATATGCGTAACAGTATCGATCGCTCCCATTGAAGCCCCCAGAATAATTTGTATGTAAACAATACAATCTGATTTTTTAACAAACGATGCGTATTCCACCTCTCTTTCGCTCTTTCTACCTCACATTTTTTAGAGAGTAACGACATTCTATGAATTATTTGTGAGTCATGAGAGGACCCATATTCGTGCTCGATTCACGTAGTCCCGTCTGTATAAACAATATGTATATCCTGTCGCCCATTTTACAGCTACTCGTATCGAGGGCTCGATTCCACGCTCGCGTCCCACCTCCCCCTTTCCCGCCCCCCGAATTTCTGTTCCATCGTTCAAATATTCACGATTTATCAACTCGTTTGAATTATTCATGCCTCCCCCTTCCCCGGCTGATATCTTTGTTATCTTACCGATAAGTCAAAGGACGAAAGGATCGCGGATAGAGAAGACGCCGCGCTTCCGGTATCTCTCGCCAAAAACCTTCACTCTCCCCCCGCCTGAGAATGAAGGTGTAGAATGCAGAATGCAATGTCGTGCTCTCTTGCAAAGAGCACTTTGACACAGCCCCACGGGTACATTACTAGGATTGCCGCCACCAATTGAACTCCCCCAACTCGCCGAGAGAACCCCCGGCACGAACCTCCCTTATATCTGCAAACACAGCCGCCCCGGGCGACACCGCCCGCTCAAGTAACTTGAAATTCTCCATTGTTAACGTTATTTGACTTATACGCGCTGATACCGGCGCTGATCTTCATAATAGGTAATACTTATGAAAGGACGGTTCCGGGGGCATTGTTCGGGTTAAGTTTCGTGAGCGCGAGCATGATTAAGGCCCACCCCTACGCGCCAGATTATATAAATATCCCCGGAAATGTGTCGCACGAGAACATTTATAATGGAATATCCGTTACGCGATTTGTAAATTTAAATATCTTGAATTCTTTCTTATTCTCTGAGAAATATAGTTTCATCGTAAAGTCCGATAAATCGCGAGGAAAATGTAAAATCTTATATTTCGTCTTGATATTTTGTATTATATAAAAATTTTTTACAAATACCTCTATTTTTATATTTCTTTCTGCTATTTAAGAATCTATATTATAGCTTATTTTTGTCCTGGGAGATAAATATCATTTTTATTTACAGAGAAATAAAACTGATCGCCACATAGTTTTGTTCGTATAATAAAAAAGAAAAAATTAAAGCAACTATTTAAAGATCGTCTAACCGGAATTGTGTCTAAAAGTTGCGCGCACGTTTCACGTATAATAAGAGTAATATCACTATGAAATATTGTATTTTTCGTTCTCTTTTTTTCAGTACTGTTGCATTCCACGTACCGTGCGAACGCTATCCTGCGAAATGTTCAGTCCCATGTGTATGGCGCAGGCGCTACTTTGTGCGTCATTTATAAATATTTATAAAGTTTCGCGTAAAAATTTCACGAAGAGATATGCGCATTCCTTACGATTCTGTGTTAAATAACATTATATCTAACTCCAAATTACAAACTTACAGCTTCCTCGTGTCAACCAGTTATAAAAATATATGTTTGTCGCTCAGTTAAAGAAAGCGTCGAGATGCTCGCCGGAACCAAGATGCTGCTGTCCGAACATTTATTTGCCGTTAATCTTTTGTATTCGTCCCATGTAGAGATTTATGGAAATGAAAAATGTATAAACGGACAAAGAGAGTGAACGCGTATGAGAGACTGTATTCAAAACTGAATGTCATCTCTTATAGAGTCTCGGAGATCATGAAATATTGTACTAATTTATTAATAAATTCAGATCTGTTTCTCGATATTTCTTGGAAACTGTCATTTATTAATATTTAAAAAAAAAAAATAACATGTATTTCGGTCTGTGACGAGAATGACGCAAGGGTGAACGAAGGAATGTCAGAGATCCAATTTGCGAGGGCGTGAAAATGGCCACGTAACTTCGCCGCGCATCGCGATATTCTTATACCGGGGATGGCTAAATTTACTCGCGAAATCACCCACATTCGCGGGCATCCATATCCGCGCGAGGGAACATCCCCCCGCGTACACGACCGATTACACGTCATCGAAATCCACGATAGGCGTGGTGGATGATCTCGTGGTAGGTATACGATCGTCGGACAGATATATCCGCTAATACACGGCTTCTCGCGCGCCCATAGTACCACTTTATACGACCGAAATTCCCAGTAAGATGCAGGAGGACACCGGCAGAAAGGAAGAGAGGGAGGGAGGGAGGACGAAGGGCGAAGGGGGCGGGGGACGGGGGAGGGGAGGAATTCGTAATACGGAGGGCGGCTCTACGACTCCGCTGGGAGGAATTCCGGGGTACGTTTTAAATTGCTGCATCCCCAACCTTCTTGTTTATGTATGCTACCGTGTTTCTTATTCTTGTGCGGCAGCGAAGGAGAGCGCGCGCCCCCCTAACTTTATGTGCACAGTGCCGACATAAGTATGCAATCTATGCGTCGGTGTAGCTCGCGCGGATGCACGTGTGAGAGGCACGTATGTATGTATGCATATATATGTACGTGTATTGGTGTGTGTGTGTGTGTGCGTGAAAGAGCGGCACGGTCGTAGCCCGAGACCGGTGAACATGCTACACACGCGTAACGTCGCGCGTGCACGTACGTGTGTATTGTATGGCGAAACGTGGCCCTATGTTTTCTCCCGCCGTGTATTTGGACTCCCTACAAAAGAAAGAGAGAGAGAGAGAGAATAAGATCCGCGCGCGTTTCCTCCCGGTGGATTCTTTTCGTGTTTCGAACACACAGTCTCCCCTCCCCCTCGCTCCCAAACTCTTCCTCCGTATTTCCACCCTCGCCGCCGCGTACTCTTTCGCGTTCCTATCTCTCCGCCACAATTGCTGTAATCTACGATCTAGGGTGGTGGATTTAACCGTCCTATGGATCTCAGCTGCGGTAATTTGTAAAGTTTTTAATATTGCACGGGGTCTCTCTTGAACGGACACCGTGCGGAAATGTTTCGGCAAAAACGACGATTGAGAGACGCTAGATTCTGTAAATTGATTTAATAATTTTCCATCGTCCAACACATTAATGTAATTTATTACATTTATATAATTTCCATCATCCCTCGATCATCGCCAATGATTTTTGCGGAACGTGATCGAGATATCATTAAGATTATTTATAATATAAGTACATTCCTGAGTTATATAATGCACGGTATACAAAATCTATAAATTCAAACAAAAGTGCATCTTTGCGTCAGAAAATAAAGTGTGCTATAACACATATACACATATAATTATATTCTAATAATATTTAATAATCTTAGAAGAAGAAATTTTAGAAATATCATTTCTAAAATTGTTGAAAATGTCAAAATGTTGCGAAAAATATTGATAAGCTAGGAACGAATTGGCCGAGTAATGATTGAAATCGATGACCTACTGACAATATTTTCAAATGAGAAAGACTGAGAATCGTGATAAGATCATTGAGCACATGTAGGATATTATATTCGGCTGCCTAGTTCTATGCTATACTACTAGATGGCAATCGAGCACACTTTCCCCTTATTTATAAGAAGATATCTATGTAATCATCTTAATTGAACAGAATTATGAAATATGTAATTAATTGCTCCAGAGTTGAGGCATTTTTCTTCTTCATTTATCTATATAAATATATCTGAAATTTAACAATTTGGAAAATTTGAACTTGGTTGTGTCGTTATTCAATAATTATTTTTTTTTTATAATCATAAAATGTATTTTTAAGGAAACTGCAGGAAAACAGAGTTATGAAGTTTCTGCATTACGTCCAATTGAAAATCTTTTATTAGCGAAAATAATTATCGTGCAATTAATGTATAAAAAAAAAATTAATTTTATTGCGCGATAAACGAAGATATCGTAGATATCACTTTGTGCAGTGATACACATATTTCTTATCAAGGTAACGAATGTAATCGTCCACCCGTTAATGAGC